AGAGAGAGAGAGAGAGAGAGAGAGAGAGAGAGAGAGAGAGAGAGAGAAGATGGAGGAAATAATACCAAGGAAGAAAGCACGGAGAACGTGGTGGATCTCTCGTTTTTCCGCATCCCATTGATTTACATCTTGGCCTGCTGCAGGTAGAAAGAAAGGATATGGAAGAAGAAGGCTAGGAGAAGAGAAGAGCGCGTAGTCGAGGGGTGGCCGCACGATATCAGCCGTTTGTATGCGCGGTCGACGCCAAACTTTGCTGAATTGCTCTATGACTCCTTATATCCTATCCTCTGAGCACACCCTCTCTCGTCCTCTTACGATTCCACCCTCTACTGCGGCCCTCGAGTCATTATACCGATCTCGAAGAAACCAACTCAGTCTGTCTCCCTCCCCTGGCCTTCCTTTTTATTCGAGGATTCTAACAATTCTATTACGACGAGACAACAATTTATGCTATTAATTTCTTACGGAAAAATGTTACACAAAGTTGTTAAGCTTGATACGAAGATAAAGGATTGCAAATTTTCGTAGTCTAACTTTTCTTTTTTATAGCTAGTATCTGTAATCATATTGGAAATATTTACGCCATGTATTGAAAATACTTGTACGAGAATTAGAAACTTTTATATTGTTATTGTTGTGTAAAGCAATTCGTAAATTGTAAATACATCATTTGATATAGTGGCAACAAATGTGGATTTTAAGGATTAAATAATCATGTAATGTCATTAACATGAATCGAAAACGTATTGACACGTTAAATATTTGTTATCTTAATAAATTACAGTTTCTGTTTTTCGATTACACTTTTACAAAACATTTACTTTATGCGTATAGCTTGCAATACTCACTATTGTATTCGCCAGGATCACTGGGATCCAATCGTTTCGCTCTGCGCCCGTGTTTGCTATTGTTATGAACGAACATGTTGTCCGAGACTGCTAGAAGTGGTCCCTCTACTCCTACTTGCGTGGAAATGACCACCTGTTACAGAAGATTGAAATTCATCCACGTGAGATTTTAGTAGAATGTTGAAAGTACATGCAATTACGTACAATAACAGTAAACATTAATAGTATGTATTCTACATTTTCAAAGCTCGTTAGAGTTAAAATTAAAAATTTTACTTCACCAATAGAAGAAACTGCAATTTCTGCAAAAACTCTTTAATATATGTATCTCACTGAAAATGGTTATAGGAAATAAACCAAGCTTAAAGAACAGTCTTTAAATAAAATGCACACAGTCGATATCGTAATAATAATATAAATGATGTGAAACTACTTTGAATAAGCGATGAGTACGAAGAAATTAATTATGTTAAAGGAAATAGTTTTACTTCCATATTAGGACGTAATTATATTTAACATTTCAATTTTCACTATGTATCTATTTTATCGATTTATCGAACGTAAAAGAATGTATGGAAATTGTATCATACAACGCATAATTTTATTTGGGAATAATATAGCTGCGTATGTATGTTAATCATATCTCTTCTAAGCAAGCATTGCAATTTGATTTGCCGCATCGCGTTATGTGTATTAGTCGTTCGTGACTCTCGTGTTCTCCTATTTATACGCATGATAGATAATATCACACAAATGTATGAACGCAATCTCATTAAAGATATGCCTTTGAAAGTTCTGTTCTTGAAATGAAGCAAGTAATTTTCAATTTGTTACTGTTTCAGACAAATGTTAAGAAAGTAGATATAAATCATCAGAGACTTCTGTTAACACTTAAATCCAATTTTATTTCTCGTTTGTAATAGGCCAGATATGTCTACATATTTTCACGCGTAAAACTTTTGGTAAATTGAAACAAGCCGTGTGTTTAACCTCGAGTTTTCCGGACGCAAACAAGGGGACGATGATTTTCGGGAGAAAGTAGAAAGAACGTTTATAAAATCGGCCGGGCGGTTGGTAAATGCCCAAAGTTTTGTCCTTTTGCAACTTCGCAACTTTCTTGGCTGGTTGGCCATATTACCTAGCGCGTAACGTAGTGCGAACTTGGCCAGCACAAGCGTGAGTATAACCTGACGGTCCTTCGCGAGAGAAATTTCCGAGGGAGGGGAAAGCGTACCGCTAAAATTTTAATTCGCAACTTCGAGTAATAAGCAATTCCTAAACAAATTTGAAAGCACGATAACAACTTAACTTTGGTTTGCCTTTGCCTAGGCATTCAGGCGAATGTATATTAGGATAAATGAATGCGCGACAAAGTTCGAAAATTGCGTAACTGATTTTACAGGAGAATTCTTTACAGTTGATTTGATAATCGCGAATATATTTCTTTGAAATGTTACTGTTACAGATATTAAATTAAGCAATTGGTTAAAAGATTTGATCCACGATGCCTATTCTTTTTCAACATTGAATAACAAAATTTCAAATTTCAATTATGTTCTACAAAATAATTTGAAGTAACTAAACTCTCAAATTCGTTCATTCTTTAACTTAAATTGGATAGTACTATCGGATAGTGCTCTCCATCATATTGGATAGTAATAATTGATATTTGTTTTCAGATCTCTCACAAATGTCACGAAATGTCACGAAATCTATTATAATTTAAAATTAAATTGAAAGAAATGTCACGAGACATTTTTATTTGACTATGAGACGGCTTAAAAAGAAGAGCATATAGTTCTCACGCGATAAGGACAGATCGAATTGAAGGAAGCGTAGGAACTGGGTGGAATGTTTTTGGTAGTTTATTTTTTAATTCTACCTTTTGCCTCTCAAAATGGACACGAGCGGAGTGACGAGATACGGCTGTCGGTGAGTAGCAGAGACCGTAATACGGAGATGGGGTGGAAGGGTGAACGGATACAGGGGTGGGTTGGTTGATGCCGCGCTGAGCTAATTGCCAACCCCTTGGATTACGTCTCCTGGATGGGGGTCTCAACTTTCGACGATGGCAGACCATCGAGAAATTGCTCGTTTCCTCGACGAACTTCTTTTTCTTTTGGAAATGAAAAAAGAATGCCTCCAAGTGAAAGCTACGCATTCGCAGACGTGCTATACGGTGATAGGGTGGCACGCAATTGCGGAGGACTTTCAGTGTTCTCGTCTCCGTCCATCCGTCCCTATAATTTCATGAGTCGTGACTCGCATAATGGTTGAATTCCGATCAGTACTCCCGCGCTATGATAAAATTTTGATCTGTTACCAAACGTTAAGTTTGAATTAAAAGTATGCGAAACGGCTGATTTCAAAAATTCTCTGTGTAGAATGTTTTGAAACTTAGCGTAGTTCGATCATAAGTTTGGTAACGTAATCGTTAATTTACGATATAATATTTTTTGTCAAACTTTGTTGAAGTGTTGAAGTTACTTATAATAAATTCAGGAGCATCCAATTACTCTGAACACAGTTGCAGTGTGATGTTACTAGAGCGTGTCTGACCATTACTCGCTGTTTCTACTTATGCTGGCACCTCTGGTGCACAATTCATGGCGACGTAATAGCCTTTTGTATATTTTCTGCTACAGTTTCAGATAATTTATATTGTTATTAGAATATTAGTTGTACGCTTTCTTTCTAAATATGATTGTTTAAACTTATTGTACCACTTGTGACTATGTTCAGTGCGACTTTTTAGTATATGTGGAGATACAAATGAGTTAAGAAAACCTTGAGGTAGTGCACTTGGAAATCATAATAATCTATAGAAAATACACATTTAATTTACAAAATACTTGTAACATTTAAATGTGTACAAAATAAGTGTTCTTTCTACATTTTCGCAATTAAATTTTGTATACCCCATCCTTCGATAACATTTCAATTACGATTCATTTCAATAGTGGTATAGTAATAAGTTTTATATCCTCATAGCGGTGATATGTAGCTTCAGCGAACTAATAAAAGGTGGTCCCAGTAGCGTTTCACTCATGAAAGATTTATGCGTTAACTCACCTGGAAGCGTCTCATATCTCGTGGGTTGCCGGCATTCTTAAGGCAGTTCTGGTTGCACTTGAGAAAGAACTTAAGGAAGAATCTGAAAGCAGAGTGGACTACAGTTAAACGGTTGACAAGGTGCTTAACGCTTTTCAACGTAGAGAACTTAATTAGAACGGGAACTTGGCCGGAAAGTAAACCTGAATATTGCATAAGCCAATCGCAAGCCCCGTTCTAGTCGCCTCTATTATTCAGCATTTCTCTAGATTAAACCCCGACCACGTGTTCTTCGACCTTTAGGACCGTCCGGCTTTATATACTATGGCAAGTGTGTATATAACTACTATACCAGTTTACCGAAATGTCAAATGTTGTATAAGCCTAAAAATACGTTTCATCCAGAAGAATATTCAACAAGAAAAATCTACTATCGCTCTGCCATTAACTGATTCGCATATTATATATAAATTGACTAATGAAATACAGTATGGTTGAATCTAGAATTGTTTATATCTGGTGTCGATATAGATGTAGCATATCTATCGCATATCCATCAAAGATACCTAACAGCCAAAAAAAGAACGAATAAACTGTAAAGCTTTGGGAAAAAGATTACAGAGCGACGAATGTCGAGAAACATCGATGCCTGCATGTGTGTACGAGGCAAACGTTGCACGCGTGGCAAAAATGGGGGTAGGAAAAAAGAACCACGAAGAAAAAGAGACGGGGTTTCAGTCGAAAAACGGGCAGCTCAATTTTCATGAATTATGTAAAATATCGGGAGATATTGAATTCGAGGAAAATTTTTGAAGGTGCGCGATATCCATGTTCGCGCTGACGGGAGTGAAAGTTGGATGAAGGGTTCGCCGAAGAGACATGAGAGGGTGAAACACGAATAATATCTATGGATAGACTGAGATAGATCCAGAGAGTGGGGAAACCGCGTAGGAAACAATCAGGAGGACCGAGACGATGAAGAGGTTTGAGGGACGAAGGGGTAGTTTTCTGGGTGGCTGGTAGGCCTCTCCTCCCATGGGACGCCATTGTCATCCCCTGTGGAGTGCGTCCATACGATCCGGGACTCCATCGAAAAATCAAACGCATACCTTCTAGTAGCGACGCCCGCTTTTTTCCTTTCTCGTTTACGCGAATCGTCCAAGCGAAACTGTAAGAGGAATTTGTCTATTTCTCTTTGTCGCCTCGTCCCTATCGATACCGCGTTCCTTTTCTGCTTCTTTGTTTCGCTTATTTCTCGGGTTTCTCGCCTTGAGGAGACGAATAGCAAGCCGTTGGATAGAACTTAGCATGTAAACGGTGATTCGTTTAATTCTGTGGACGCTAGACGAAGTAAAATCGTTTAGGTACTGTTATATAGACTTGATCGATAGTTCTTATAGTGATTTCATTACTTTGTTTACTAGTGGTAGCATACGTGATTCTTAATTCAAATTGAAAATAATGTCATCCTAGATATGTACATTTTATTAATCTTCTGAAAAATACTGGAACACGTATGTGTACCTTCAATTTTTGTGTTATTATATTTTAAATTGGGTAACATTGTGGCTAAAACTCGAATTTTTTTTCTTAAAATTATATTATGAGTATAGTCATTCGCTTTATAATAAAAAAAAAAAAACATAATATTTAATGCTTCGTAATAACTTTGAAATTGTGCAAGTAATACGATTGTATTCCGAGTACCATGAGTTTTATTTTTCTTTGAACTCGTGTGTCTCGAAAAGTTATATCAAGCAAAGTATTTTACGTTAAATAGGTTTTTATTTCTCATTTGTTCTCATTGCAACTCGAAACACTGTACAGCTACACATAAGTCAACGCTACACATTAACTCAAGATTCGAATATGCAATGTTAAATTGTGCTAGCTAAAATATCGAAGCTAATTACTAACGACGTATCCGTAACGTTTTAGTAAAGCGATACCGAATATCAGACAGCCGAAGATAACATCAGCAAACGCGTGTATCATCGTACATTACACGCGGCCTATCTAAACGACACTTTTATTGTCAAGCTGTATGATCCTGCGCAAGTTGTCAACCGAGTCGGACGTTTGGCATGAAATCCATATAGTTCGAAAAGTGAAAGGGAAAAATGAAAACCGACCCGACTACCCCCTTCGTGCTTGTGTAGAGAGTACGGAAGGGTATACGGCTGGCAAGATATAAAGAGGGAAGAAAGAGGATGAAGAGGAGTGGGCGGCGGTGAAAGAGGAGGGAGGACATACAGAAACAGAAAGGGAAAGAAACGTATCGATCTCCCGCTACATGCTTCTCGTATCTATCCGTATCCGAGTACTATACTCTCTGTTCGTGTTAACGGCTGCAGTTGGCCGCCCTTGAGCGTCGGGCGAATTTAATTCCGTTTACTCTTAGAGGGCGTTAAGATCTTATCGGGATGCTGGATGGGTATTCAAAGCATTGTACTTTGGCTTATCACCGCCGTGGATCTCGCTCTAAACACGATTTCTCCGTCACACCTGAGGCACGGAGTACTACGACGGAATCTAGTCTTTCGCAGATAGGAAACTCATTGACTCGCCTACGTCACTGCGAAAATGGTGCGAACATGTTCTTTAACTGGCGAGGAAGAGGAAGACCGATTGCGTCGCCTAGATAGAATGTAAAGACCTATGTATTATTCATCTATATTAAATATACTCTTATTTTTCTGTAAAGTAAAGAACTACTCCACGTCCGCTTAATCCTGTCGATCCCGTACCCTACATAAATAGTATAACGTAATTCATCCGTGATGAGAATAAGAGAAATAAAATAATTTTTGGAAAAAAAATATAACCGACTTCGAAAAAAAGAAATATACATGTCGAATTGAGTAACCTCCTTCTTTTCGAAGTCGGTTAAAAAGAAAGATTCACTTTTTCCCCATTAAATGATATCTACTCATAGACAAAATTAATCATTCGCAATACCCTGGATTTTATATCCACGTTACTTTATCCCTCTTTTCTTTTCCATTTGAGAGTCGTTTTCTTCCATTCTATCCTTTGAGTATTGGCTGTTAGGAGCTAATGGATTGTGTTATCGACTGATTCAAATGCGAACTAGATTTCATTCCGAGCTTGATGGGGCGACAGTGTCGACGATGTAGTAACGCGAACACGAGCAAGAAGGGTGGAATGGCTAGTTTCTTACAGGGGCTCAAACTCGATTTCGATCATCTATTAGATTTTTCTTCTTTGTCGATGCTTTTCGCAAGCTTCCGCCAGTTTTCGTGATAGAATCTATTTTGGATCGTCGCTCAAAACGGCAGGTTGACGCATTTTACATCGTCGAAACATTGGATCGTGTTGAAAGATCGTTTAGAAGCGATATTGTAACTTTAAGGAATTCTTCACCTAAACATAAAAAGAAAAAAATACAATACGTTTATTCAACTTAAAATATATCTAAATAATGTAGTAGAGATTATGGAAACATTGAATTATCATTTGACAAATTAAAATCAATTTTAAATACATTGAACTATTTTCTACAATTTTAATCATGTGCATTTGACTTTAATTTCAGTTTGCGGCCAAGTGGAATCGTCGTTATCGTATCGGTAGAAATAACAAGGTATCGTAATTAAAGCGTTTTATGGACGAATACGTCGAACAAATCGATTGATTCCTGCCGGATTGGCCGGTTCCGTTGCTAACGAATTGACACGGAATAAAATATACAGGGGCTGACCGATTGAGAAATCATTCCCAACCTACCTTCCGATAGTTACGTACCCTTTCGTTGCCTCGAGTAAAATGAAAATAAAACGAAGCAGCGCGCAGCGGAAAGTGGCGGATTGTGTGTGATGGGAGAAAGGGAGACGGAGCAGGAACAACGTGTAGCGGGAAACGTGCACAGTTCGCTGTTTCCATTTCTACGGTATACAACTTCGCAACGTCGGGATGGATGAACGAACAAACCAGAAAAAATAAACGTCGGGGATGGAAAAAAAGCGCTAAATATTGGAGGCTCACGAAGAGAGAAAAGGAGAGGGAGGCGGGTAAACAGAGGCAAATGAATTCAATCAAACTTTGCAGTAAATCATCGGCTCCTACGCAGCGTTTATTTTGTTTTTTTTTTAGTATTCCTCGTTTACCAATTAGCCATATTTTTTGGTTTCCACCGTACCAAAATGAATACTACTTCCTACGCGAAAGCAATTCGTGGAAAAAAATTTTCGCGGATCAGTGACCCCAATTGGGAAACGCTGTTGGCAGTATGCACTGCTAACCATCGAACTGCGCAAAAACGATTTTACGTAACGACTAATCGATACATTTCCTTGTCTTTGAGATGGTATTATTGGACGAATATAACGTAACTATTCACGTGTTATTTTTAAGGTATTTATAATTATGGTGTTGTTTTTATTAAAATTCTATATTTTATTAAACTTTAAATGTTCTCAAGCGTAGACTGTGTGCTCGACTTAATTTCAAATGGTAATTATTTTCATTTTGCAGAAATATTAGATACAATGATTATTAAACGATATTAGAGTCTTTATCACTTGTGGAATATATTAAGGAAACGTTTTAAAAGACGATGCAATTTTTGCAGTGTATTTAGTTTATAACTATTTCGAAAGGGGCTATATGATTTTGGTTTTTAATAACGAAATACGCCTATCAGCGTAAAGATAGTGGTCATTTAATCAACATCGTGCATACTTAATTATAATCGTATGTTCTGTCATTTCAAATATTAGAATTGGATATATTTTATACCGGTTATGTTTTACTAATGAATCAAAATTTAAAAGCTGCTTTTGGAAAACCCTTTACTTTGCAAATGTAAAAATAATTTTCTATCCGACTGTTTATATATTTTCGATACGTATAGGGTGTGAAGTCGCAAATGAATATCGTCTGATGTAGTAAATATGTTTCGAGCAGGGGTGAATGGATATAGGAAGCTTACTCGGGGACTTACGCGTAATAGTTCCAAATAGGGTAGCATTACGCGTATCAGAAATCCATTTTCTCCTACGTCGGAAAATCTTTAATCATGTTTTCTCCTCCCAAAGTATATTCCCTTCCTCTGCCACTCTAAAGGAGAAGATATAACGTAGT